ATTGAGAGGGGAAAAGCACTCTGACTTGCCCAACTGCAAAGTACCAGGTATTAAAATGTTCACAATAACCTTTCTGGGCTTCTTTTCAAAGTTACTTTTAAACCCTATCACCAAGTTTGGGTTTTGAAAGGCAGTATTTTTTTAAAGTGTAATCACATTCCATTCCATTTTCACCTGTCACTGTGGAGCTCTAAGTTGCCCCTAGCTGCTCATGGCCTCTCTAACTGCTCCCGCAGGTAGCACCTGCCCCACCATGGCCATGTCTTGGTTGCTAAACCACTGGCATTTCTCTTTTTATATGGGGGAGGGAGGGTGTTCACATCATCCAACTCAAAATGAGAACGCTCAGTAGGGAAGTGACTTCTGAAGGTAACACAGGGGCTCACACCCCCCACAAACAGATAACGTTTATTTTATAATTTCTTCTCCATCTGAAATGCGCAGAGTTTAAGCAGTTCCTCAATCACTCTTCCTGGAGGGGGAGAGTGGACTGTGGCCCACCAGCCGCAGCCTCTCCTTCCTGGGGATTCCAAGGAGATGAGAGAAGCAGCAGCCTCCCTTAGGGACAGACTGCCCTAAAGATTTTAGGATTTGGGCAGGACACCCAGGGCGCCCCTTTGGACCAGGGCAGAGACTCTGTGCCAGTTTTCAGCCTCTGCATCTGGGTTTTGGAGGGACGCAATGAACAACAAGAAAAGGAAGAGCTTGGTTTCGCCCATCCCAACCCCAGAGTCCACGCCTGGACCAGCCGCTGCACTGCCCATTCCCTGCGCACTGGGGGACAGCGGGTTCAGGCTTTGGGCTCAGTAACACACACCCCGCAGCCCCGTCCTGAGTCCCCAGAGGCCGCTGCTTCAAGCGTAGATCACCCTCCGGGGAATGCTCTGCCTGCCAGGCAGGGAGGGGACTAGATGAACCCCTGGGACCAACCGACGGCGAAGGAGGAGACATCTCACGGCTGTCCCTGTCCCGAGGCTTCCAAGCCCAAGGCCCCAACTCTCCAGGCGAAGGGGGCCCGTGCCACCACCTACCCCAACTGCCAAAGAGGCCGGACGCACAGCACACCAGGGCCAGCACCGCGCACACGAAGCCGACTTGCTGCGGCAGCAACTCTCGCCTCCTGCGAACTTTGCGCGGCCGGAGGGTCCCGCGGAGCGCCATCTCCGAGCGCCTGGGTGCCGTCCCTGGGAGAGGATGGGGAGCACGGACGGGGAGCCTTTCTCTGGTCAGGTGGCGTTGGGGCTGGAGCAGGCGAGGAGCAGCTCAGAGACGAG